TAATCCCTGTTGATTGTTGTCATGTAGCGATTTTTCAGGCCGCAGTTATTATTGAAAAAACCTGCGGGACCCTTTTGCAGTGCCCCAACACACCATTTTTGCAATAGGAAAGATGTATTGCGCAGGAGTCACCCAAACGGTTTGAGCATCGGCATAACTTGTATTTCGCTGATTTAAAAGCCCCCGTTTCCCACACCGAATTCACTCCGATAGTGGACGGAAATCGAACACTCGGACAAAGCCAGGACAGGATAGGATTCAGGGACGAAACAAGCTTTCGCTTAACCAGCGTCCCGTTTCATGTGCCAATAAGCGAAAAGAGCTCCCATCACTTCGACGTGACAGTAGATTCTTACATTTACACTAATAAAAGAAAGAACAGCAAAATAGCCACTACATTTTAGTCTATTTGCATAGGCTACCTGTAATTGGTTGCAGGCTAATTTGAGTACCCATAAGAATTAGGGGAAACGTTCAAGCACATTTCGTCAGGACCGTCCTACATTGTAATAATACAGGAAGTTCATCCAAACTAGGCCTTACTCGATTTGAGAATTTAGCTCTTACATCCAGCCTAGGTCTCTGCTGCCTCAACTTTAACCTATGGCCCTGCAAGTGGTCCGACGTAGCTGGTCCAAAGAGATCGGTTGCTTTGAAATCGCTGAGACTCTTCATGATTTAGAATGTCTCTATTAAGCCCTCTCAAACTGCGTCTCCTCAATGAGTACAATCAAGTTAGATAACCAAACCTCATACGGTAACCCCGTTGGTCTTCTATTATTCGAATTGTCAGTCTTTGCGCATCCTCCATACAATTTACATCCCTCTGCAGGAAGGGAACCCAGGCCTGAACACAGTATCCTAAATGTGGTCTGACCACTGCTTTATACAATGGGAGAAAGACCTATGGCGTAGTACAAATCAAAGCTCTGCTGAGTCGATCAGTATCCTCATCAACAGCAGTACATCAGCCATTTGAACTGATGCTTCGCTGCCATACAACCATGAGGACCTATGAAATAAAGAATAAGAAGACGGAGAGAAGAGGGACTTACGTGAAAACCTTAATATCCTAAGCAAACATTCAGGGTCAAGGCGCCTACACCTTGTGTAGACAACATACCGTCACAAACAGCTGGTTATCGTGCAAAGATAAGGCGGCATCGGCGAGACAGCTTCCTGAGTAGAAATAACTGTCGTGCCTTGTTAGCAGCATGCTTACATTACGCCGGCGACTTGAAGTTATTCGTCAAGATAATGTCAACACCATGTGCTTCGAAAACACATTGCATTGTCAGGGATCCAACAGGTGCTTGTAGTATCACATTTTCGCCAATCTGAATAAGGATTTGGTATTGCTGCGTTTGAGGGCAGATAGCATGAGTGAGAGCAGTTAACAACAGTAGCCAAAGCTTTAGATAGAGTAACCCTTTCGCTCTTCTAACAAAGTTAAATCGTCAGCAAAGATATAGAAGAGCTCCACAAGTAAAAGGGACAAGTCATTAATAAAAATAAGAAACAATAACGGACCGAGTACTGAAGCCTGCGGGACTCCACTATGTGTAGTGCCGGAGCACAAAATACCATTCCCAACTCAAATATGAATTGTCCTGTCGCAAAGGAACGCGGACAGCCAAGAAAGTAGTTAAAGATGTGGTCTAAACCAGGTCATTTTTCTAGCAAAAAGCGGTGGTTTGCTGAGTCAAAAGCGTTACTGAAGTTAAGATAACATATTCCCACCGGAATCCCATCATCAAGACACTGGGTTATTTTGTCAAAGAAACACAGCAGGTTTGTGAAGCATAACTTTTTCCTTATAAAGTCATGCTGTTCCGCTCTGATCAAGTTATGGGCAGCGAGATGCTCCCAGATTCGATCTCTGATAAGCCATTCCAGACATGCTAATCAAACTAACAGACCTGTAATAATTCTGCGAGTATTTAGGGCCCCCTTTATGAGTGGCCACTACAACTGTCTCCTCCCAATCTTGTGGTATCCTTCACTCACGAAGAGATATTGTAAAGTTCAAGAACTAGAAGCTGAAGAATATCGGCAATTGGCTTTACAGTGGCCGGATGCACATTACCAGAGCCAGCGGATTCGTAGGGATCTAGATCTTCCAGAACAGGACATCCGCTGCAGTTAGTTTGATTTCCCAATTTTCCTCTCGCCTACGCTATGGGGCTGCAATGGGAGAGAGCATCCAGCCCGCTCCATGAACTTTATGAAAAACACGCAGCAACTCTTGCGCCTTATCTAGGTCTTCTGTAGCCTGAAGACCCGCTTCTGTGTTCAAGTTAACAGCTTCTAAAGAAAACGTCGACTGCACACAGCTGTAGTAGCGTTTCGGATTCGTATTTACACTACGCGCAATTCTAAGCCCGTAGGAGTAATTGGCCTGCCTCTGCAATTTGACAGCCATGTTGCGAAATTTTTTGTAGCTGTCACCTACGGAATCCGTCGGTTTCATTCAATATTTTTCATAGAGCATTACGTCGTTTTGACCATCTATCAATTCTACGGTGCCCCCAAGGAGGCTTGCCTGAGTGGCGAATTCAGAGTAAGAGAGCAAAACCCTCTAACAACTGCGTGAGCCCACTTCGATCATATGCCACCTCTGTTCCAGAGCTGCCGCTGTCTGTTCAGGAACCCAAGTAATGCTCATGGCTCTTTACCTCAAAAGCATGGTATTAATCCGGTTTGGATTTCGCGTCATGTGAAGTTCCTTTGATATCTCCCGTAACTTAGAGGGGAAATAACGAACAAACTGATCACTCTCACCGATAGGAGCTCCCATGGTAATTGTGGACTACCGACCATGCTTCGTGATTACGTCTAAGAGGAAACTTTCCCGCCATGACTTCTAGTTGGAAGATTGATGTGTTGCCCACCCACTGTACTAAGTCTCTTTCCAGAGTCTGCCTTATGGATTGCATGCTTTCAATCGGTATGCGGCAGATCAAGGACACCGACTATTACAAAGCTTGGCGCTGAAGAAGCAGCTCGTTTTAACAGCTCGCTTAGCTCCTTGTCCTCTCCTCGCGTCGAGGATGGGCTGCAGTTAACATAAACAATTAATCCGATCCTACCTCCCATTCTTATAAACTATGAAGTGACTTAAACACTTGGAGTGCATATGGTGAACGGAGCTTCCCAATAACTATAGGGAGAATGAATAAGCAATAGCACCCCAGCTCCACCCAAGACGATCTTTCCTGTATCCCGAAAGTTCAGTAAGGAGACAAATATTTATTGAATCATTCGAAGAAAACCAGGTCTCAATAATCGCAAACACATCAACACCTCGGCATCTCAACGCCAGCTACCCCACTTGTTTCTTAAGCTTCAAGCATTTGTGCACCATACATTTATTGGTGAATGCCGCAGTCTTATTCCGCCTCCAAATGTCCTTTAAAAGTTCCCCTCGGGCGCAGAACCCAACAGTGGTAGCTGGGGCTTCAACTTGGATCTGCGAAAACTGTATACAGCTGTGTGGGTTGTCAGTTTCATCACTTCTGGCTGTTTTGGTGACTCGGGTCTCAGGTTGTTTTCCCATCTTTCGGCGCATAATGTTGCTTCCATTAACCATAGGTCTCTCTCAAAAGGGGCTTAGATGTGTGTTGGTGTCCTTTGCCCAGAGATATTGTAATTGTACTGAAATGTGTAGTGTATTTTGATGCTGACACCTGAAAGTGCAAATATTGCTCTTGTTCTTGCTTCATTCTTTTGCAGAAGCAAGCAGAGTCAATCCAACGTCGAAGTGCCGGGGGCCGCTTCACTTACCGGCACAAGAAACAGGACGCTCGTTAGGCGAAGGCCTCTATCGTCCGTTGTACCTGACCTGACCTGACTGGGACAACTTAGACTTAAAAACGTCGTCGGAGAACGCCTCCCTTTGCCCGGTAGCTGAATTAATCATAGCTCATGGCGACCTCGTTTCCGGTTCCCCTGAATTGGTAGCAGCAGTCGTACTCCAGCGATTAAAGGCAAGCTGAATTCCCGTAAGCAGAGCGGAACCACGCCACTCACCAACACAGTATTGAAATTATTCGGATACTCTATGGGTAGCCTCCAGAAGGTCGAGGTCTGCTGTAGCCGCGTTACGTGGAGAGGTAGAAGCATTCACTTGGGGAGAGTGAACCCCATGAGTTCCACATAGCATATTATTCACACCGATATTTTGACTGGTGTTTGTTCATATAGTGCGGCGGTACAAATGAGGTGAATTTAGCGCTTGATGCGAGCGTGTCTGAGGTCATCTGGTAACAACCATTTGCTTGACCAGATAATAGATCCACTCACTTAAGATCCCGATATATTGGGTTTTTGAACTCTACTAAGATCGGTCTTGCAAAGCCTTCCTGGTGCAAAGCACTTACTTTCTTCCAAATACCAACTCGATGGATCCTTTTGATGACAACGAGGCGATATGATAACAATACGTAGCATACCCTGAACACGTCTCATCCAAATCAGGTCGGCTTACCCTCCCATATCACTAGCTCATCCTAATTTTATGTAAACACATTACTTTGCCTAACCACAGCAATTTCAGTGTTACGCACATTCTGTTAGAATGTTTGAGTGCATTTCATCAACTTTTCTCGAAGGTCTTCGATGACAGATCGCTGTTCTCGGATCATCTTTGCTACCATGTTGAGCCTAAGCAGATCTTTATCGTACGTGACCCACACCCTTGTCTATTTACTCGCAAAAGCTTTTGTTACACACCGCTGTATAATACTGATCGCTCAGGTAGCAGCCTGAGGTTAACGATGTCAAACGCTTTTCGTCTTTCATACACTGATTTCAAACTGGAAGTAGACGGATATCGGACAGTCGGTCGTCTGAGTTGACCAGTAGAGTGTGGTCTTAGCGACAAACCTCGCCATCAAGAAATTCTTTGACTTTAGCTACACACAGGCTGCAGCTTCAGTTCTAGCATTAAATGCAAGTTTGTTTACGGGAAAATAACACTGAAGGCATAAAAAGTAGACGGACAAATACGAAAGACGCTATAATTGTTAAGCGATCATCAACCGCTATGTCAATTGATACACAAAGTCCGCCGAATGATAATCAAACGTAGGACATTGGGGGAGCCTGAATATAACATCCTGGTATCCTGTTGTAGCCCGTAAAGCTAAAACGGCCGATTATTTCCCCTACGAAAAACCACGTGAGCACCTCGATGGTGACGAGGGTGTTCAGAAAAGCTTCCTGTGAAAATATCGAAAAAATGATGCACAAACCTTTAAGGGAACCTGTTTCCATTGCCCGGCTTTTGCAGCATGCATTAATCTAACTAATTCCTTCTGACTGAGGTCAAAGTCAGCCAGATTCGGGCGTCTCATCTCTACTTTAGCATTCAACACACCTCTTTTCAAAGACGGTATCTGCTTCTCTATGAAATAGCCAGTCATTTCTGCCATACGTCGAAAATCATAAGGAAACACTTACTTTGACCGAATTTAAGAAATTTGCCCAAGAAATCCACATACTTCTCGGCCATCTCGTGATACACAGGCCACGGTCCAGTACGTAGACCCCGCGATTTTGAATGTTCAAGTTCAAGTGGGACTGGAACGATAGGATGAATCCCGTAATTGTTCCTTCTTGAGCGGGTCGTCGATCCAGGAGTTGATAGGGGTGCTCCGACTTCTTGATGGGTCTAAAAGGAAAACACCCGAAAAACAACCTGGTCCACCAATTTAATGCCCACGTTCCTAACATTAGCTGTCCCAGCTGTGTCAGTTACGTGAAGTAAGTAAGAGAGGAAGGAGAATCGAAGGTAAGAGAGTAGGGGAAATCAGTTAAAAGAAGAGAATAATACCAATGACGAGGAAAAGTAAAGAAAATAGAATCGAAGTATGATGATGGGAATTTGTCAGGAAAACGGAAAGGTTTCGTGTTGCCACCCAAGAGCATCTAGTTGACGCTCAAACCCCTTAACCGTAGCTTCCTTGACAACATTTTCTGGAAGCAGGTTCCAGCGCTCGATGACTCGACGCGATAAGCGTGTCTCCGCTCTAACTCGATCGGACCGCGGTTTGTCCAGCTTCATACAATGCCCGCGGAGACCAGATAATCTAGCAGGACTAAATAGCATGGACAAATCAGGGCCAACTTTCCCAGTCAAAATACGGTAGGTTAGGATTAGGTCCCCTCTAATTCTTCGATAGTGCATTGACTGCATCCCCAAACTAAGTAGGCGTTCGGGGTACGTTTGCCCTCGTAATCCCTTGACCAACCTAGTACCGACACGCAACACCCTTTCTAGTGCCATTTTGTCCCGGACAAGGCATGGTGGACAGGCCTGGACGCAATATTCTAGGTGGGGTCGCACAAACGCTGAGAAGAGCTTCACAAACACATCAGCGGTTAGGGTCCCAAAAGAACGACGGATAAACCACATATTGTGGATTTTTGCGTGGTTCGGAAGACCCTGAGAGCCCGTTGGAGACCCATTCTTCTCATCCCGGGACAATAAAGCACACAAGTGGACTATTTGTATTAACCGCCAATGTGCGCAGTCTGAGGAATAAATTGGATGAGATTCAGTTGATTGCCTCAGAGACCTGCCCGGACTTAATGGCCTTCACTGAAACCTGGCTATTCACCGACATCACGGATTCAGAGGTGTCTATCCCTGGTTATCACCTCTCCCGATCCGATCGACAAGGAGGGAGGCCCGGCGGTGGTGTAATAGTCTATTGGAAGACTGATATTAAAGTGCACGTAGTTGAAGCGATCAGTGACAAAGACGATGAGTTTGATGCACTCTGGTGTCGTGTTCATGATGGTCGGAGTTCTCTCTCATTTGGTGTTGTCTACAGAGCGCCTTCAGGATCCGGAGCCCGGTTGATGGACTCGATCAGGAAGCATGGTGCACGAAAGGATTGTCTTATCGTTGGGGATTTCAACGCTCCTTCTGTTGACTGGAACCTGTTTCTTTGTGACCGACCTACAGAATCCTTCGAAGCTAACTTACTGGAGACCATTCTTCATTGTAATTTGCTCCAACACGTCACTACACCAACTCGTATTCCTCCAGATCAGACGCCGCATATCTTGGATCTCGTACTCTCCCCAACACAATCAGACATCACGAACCTTTCAGTTCTACAGCCCATTGGCAGCAGTGATCACTGTACTGTCTCATTCCAGTGGTCACGTCGCCTCGCTGTTCACAGTCAACGTGCCGACCGTCGGAATTTCTGGCGTGCCGACACAACTCGTTTGAAAACGGCGGCAAGCATTGTCGATTGGAGTATCCCTGAACACCTCAATGTTGACGAAGCGTGGCATCACTTGTACTCCAAGCTGACGTTACTCATTGAACAGGTCATCCCCTTCTCCAAAAGAAGACCCTTCTCCAAAGGCCCTCCATGGATCGACCGCGAATTGAGATCAATGATGAAAAGAAGGCGAAAACTGTGGGATCGTTTCAGAATTACGCGAGTTGAGCTTGACTACTGTCACTACAAAACGGTCAGGAATGCTTGTAACATAAAAAACGAGAGAAACGCCAAAAGTACGAACTGTCATTAGCTGCACTTTCTAGTACAAACTCCAAGGCGCTCTTCTCATACCTCAAACGAAGCACTAAAGCTGGAAGTGGTGTCCCCGCCTTGTCTCCCTGTGAGCATTTGGACCTAGTCTACGAAGACGGTGAGAAAGCTAGCCTTTTGGCCCAGCAATATTCCTCAGTCTACTCTACCGAAACCCCACTCCCAGATAGCGTTGCACCCACTCCTCCTTTCCTGCTGGAGCACGTGAATGTTTCCACTGACGATGTAATGAAACTTCTACTTGACCTAGACCCGTATTCCTCGCCGGGTCCCGATGGTTTACACCCATTGTTCCTTAAGACCGTGGCCGGACACATTGCCGCTCCTGTATGTCAAATTTTCCGTCGTTCCCTTGAGGTCGGGCGGCTTCCTACTGCTTGGAAGATGGGAACGGTTAAACCCATTTACAAAGGAGGGGACCGACAGAATCCAGCCAGCTATCGTCCCATATGTTTGACTTCGATTTTGTGCAAAGTTATGGAACGGATTCTGAAACGGGCCCTTCGCCTACATCTCGATGAGTTGGAGTTCCTATCTCATGCCCAACATGGCTTCCGAAGGGCGCGTTCATGTGCTACAAATTTGCTGGTAGCTAGGGAAAAATGGGCAAGATCCTTAGATGCCGGTAAGCGTCTGGATGCTGTGTTTGTCGATTTCAGTAAGGCTTTTGACAAGGTCCCACATGAGCGGCTCCTCTTCAAACTCCGGGGAATCGGCGTCACTGGCAATTTTCTTTCATGGGTCTCCGATTTCCTGCAAGGTCGCTTCATGCAGGTCAAAGTTAACGAAGCGCTTTCTGATCAAATTCTCATGACTAGTGGGGTCCCCCAGGGTTCTGTACTCGGCCCCGAACTCTTCAATATCTTCATCAACGACCTGCCATCCGAACTGCAGACCGACTGCTTAATCTACGCGGATGATCTGAAGCTGTGGATTGAGGTTTCCAGTCTGGAAGACGCAGACATACTTCAAGCGACACTCGATCAGCTCCACGATTGGTCACTAAAGTGGCAGTTGCCCATTAACCATGACAAATGCGCTATCCTTCCAATCGGTGCTCCTGAGCCTTTTGGGGCTTACCATATCGGGGGTTTCCTGCTCAGAAATGTCAACCAAGAGAGGGACCTTGGGGTGATTGTGTCTCCTGATCTCAAATCAATGGAGGACACCCGGAGGAGGGTCGCATCCGCATACAGAATACTTCACGCTATACGGAGAGCCTTTTCACGCCTGACCCCAGCACTCTTCAGATTACTGTTTGCTTCTCATGTACGCCCAGTTCTCGAGTACGGATTGCCTGCTGCGTACCCGCTCACTAAGTCCGAACGTGACATGATCGAGAAGGTTCAACGGCGTGGATCCAAATCCGTTCCAGAGCTTCGGGACTTATCCTACCTCCTCCGGCTACAACGGTTGAACCTGTTCTCTTTGGATTATCGTCGTCGCCGCGGAGATATGATATTCACCCGGCGTATTCTACGAGGTGAGCTGGGGAGTGAGCTGCAATCGTTCTTTTGTCCAAACACAAGTTGTGCAACTCGAGGCCACCGGTGGAAACTTTTCAAACCGCGGCGACTCCGTGTACGGTCCGATCTGGCCCTATCCACCCGGGTAGTGAATGACTGGAACAGCTTGCCAGAAGCTGTCGTCGATGCGGAGACTGAGGAATGTTTCAAACGACGGTTGGATACCCACTCTCTGAGTGCGCAGGGATTCTGCTGCCCACAATACAACCATAGCGATCTTCCGCTGAACCTTGTTCCGCAATGATCCCAGCAACCCTCGCAATGTCCGGGAAGTGACGGAGCTGACAAAGGAACTTCCTTCTGCTCTCTACTAACCAATGAACCG